TTGATGGGATGAACCTCTTTTACAAGTGATAAGGCCCACTCCTATACACTCGTACACACCACACATAAAAATGTCATGCATCTTAGGTTAAAGTGCCAACCAAGGGAGCTTGCTTGTTAAGATATGGTAGAATTAGTGTACCAAGTGCAACTTTCATGTGCCTCCCACGTTCTGTGGTGCATGGTTTGTCTGATGAGATGTATGCATCTCCAGCTTCAAGTTCAATTTTTCCCTGCACCTGGTTTGTATGTGCCTCAATTTTAAATCTAAAATGTTCATCCAACCCAAACTCTCATACAATAATACAAAAAGGAAAATTAAGAACAACTGTATCATTGAGTGATATGAATGATGTGGCTATGATTGAAAACAGAAAATCTAGCAGTTTGGATATCAAATCTAACCGTTGAAACACCTGTAACATTGAGTGCTACGTAGCATTGAATGCACAATCATTTACTCTAATATTGCTACAACTATTGAAATGTTTTAGGATTCATAAGTTTTCAATTCCGTTGTAAGTTGTCATTAAATGATTAAATGAGCTCATTTGTTAGGAGATCTAGATTTAGCCAAGATGGCTAGAGCATATTGGTCCATTCTACATCAACGTTAAGATTCTCCTTGTCCGTAATTTAGATGAATTTAATGTAAATTATCATATCGTTTATCATACCAGTTAGATGAGTTTTTGTTATGAAAGTTAGGTTACACGTGTTTGACACTAATATGTAGTCGATTGAATATGTCTTTTTTTTAGATTTAACTCTTTAAAGTAGAGCTTTTGTTGTTTTACGACATGGCTTGGAGATGCCCTGAGTGAGCTTACGATGATGCTCGTGATGCTGGCTCGATTCGTGTTAAATAATAATCAATTTTAACATACTAATTTTGTGTTAATTGTTGATTCTTATTTTCTTTTTATTCTTTATTTGGTACTTTCTTGATCGATGCTAATATTGGTTTCTTGAGTTATACAACAACAGCTATAAAACAAGAAAAAAGGTTTTGGCTTCTCAAGGTTTATCTGATTTTGCTCTCTCTAGCTAGGTAGGTAGTTTTGCACCGCTCTAAAAAGTTTATTCTGCAAGCTGGATAAAAATTTAAACGGAACGAGTGTGTGATGATACCTTAATGGAAAGATACAAATATCAAATGCAAAAACCACATTTGCATTTTTTTTTTTTTTAATTTTGAGAGATGTAAACATGAGTTTTAACTTTTACCCTAATGGGAGAGAAGTAAATTTGAGATCTTAAAAAAACAAAAAAAAATTTTGAGATCTTATTTTGAGATATCATTTCCTTTTTCTCTCTTTAACTAGTGGAGATCACCTTCTAAAGATATAAGTTTACAGTTTTATTTGCATTTATCTGGCTAAGATGAGCATTTTACATCTCATCTATAAAAAAAACTATACAACCAATATAAAAAGATAAAATACTCACTTCAAAACACTTTGCATCTCCCGCTCTAATAAGTTCCATTGTTTTAGTCGAATGCAAAGGATCTAAGCTCACTCTATAACAGTAGGGTTTCATGACCTCGTAAAACAATAATTAAAGTATCATGTTATCCACATATTTAGTTTTACTTCTCATATACCTTTCTTAATTTTTGGTCATTGAATAAATTGAAGAAGATTAATAACTAAAAGTTAACAAAGATGTGTAATTGGTAAAAATAAATGCATAATCAGCACTATCCTAATTAAAAAGATGGGAAAATTAAAATCCCTACAGTTTTTCTATATCATTTAGATTAAACATTTGTGCCTTTTTAAAATTTGATTAAAGTGCTTTGACCAATAGTTACCTCTATTTTTTAAAATTAAAATACTTTTTGAATTTATTCTTTTATCTGCATGATGCACTTTTTGTCACATCCTGGCCCGGGCTCCCACCACATCTCGGGCTCTACTCCGTCGTAGCACGATATTGTCCGCTTTTGGCCCCAACCACGCCCTCACGGTTTTGTTTCTGAGAACTCATGAGCAACTTCCCAATGGGTCACCCATCCTGGGATTGTTCTCGCGCGAACTCTTAACTTCGTAGTTCCGATGGAACCCAAAGCCAGTGAGCTCCCAATAGGCCTTGTGCTAGGTAGAGATGGGAATATACATATAAGGCTTACAGGATCCACTCATTTGGGAGATGTGGGATGTTACATTTTTCCTTATTTAGTGGAGATATTAGTAATTAAACTATATTTTCTCTTCTTCCAAATATGTTTTTTCGATCACAATTTTTCTTTTTCTTTTTTTTTTTGTTATGCAAACATTTAATATTATTTCTTTTTCCAAATGATTTTTTCTTTTTCAAATAGTTGGTGATCAACATAAAAGCTCCGTGTAGTGTTTTCAATTTTTTTGTGAAATTATATTTTTTTGCTGTTTTTTTTAAGAATAGTTGTTGACGAATTATTATTAGGTACAATACATTACATATATATTATCTGTGGGTACGTTTGAATTTACAAAAATTATTAATTGGTGCATTTATTTGCAATTTTGGTACGTTTGATTTGATACTTATTGTTAAGATTGGTACATTATTTTTATTTTGGTACGTTTTATTTTGTACACATTGTGTATTGGTACATTTATATTATTCACAATCATATTTTCTCTTAGCGTACTAAAAGAAAAACTTATTTCAGTACGTTTGATTTTGGGGGATTTAAAAATATTTTAAACTATTTTGGAAAGAAAATATCTTAAATCGTAGATAATTATTGCTAAATTGTAGCATTATTGTGAAAATAAATTGAGTCTAACCAACTTTTTTCTTTTTCAATTATCTCTAACGGAGGAGAATGTAATCAAAAGGCTAGATTATAGGAAATTTGTTACAATATAATGTGCATATAGCACCAAAATTATGACAAAAAAAAGTTTAATCAAATCACTAAAAGGCATGGATGTTTGATCTACAAAATTCAAAACTGAGGCGTCTATATCAAAAGATCCCTAAAAAGATATATAAATGCTCTATTATTTGACAATTGACTTCAAACTACATATATCATTTGAAAAGGTAAAAATTGCTTGGTATAAAGAAAGCAGCACATCACAGTTTAATAATCTGGTTTCAACATCAAAAGAAGAAAACTAGAAATTAAAAGCCATTAAACTATATTTAAAGTTTGATCTTCCAAATGCAAATGTGGTCAAATATGCATACCTTTAGAGACATAGGATTAATATTAGCTTAATTAGTAAGTTCGTGGAAGATGATTATGTAAAGTGAAAGTCATGTAATTTTTTATTTTTGGGTAAATACGAGAGTCATATAGTTGTGGCAGCTAATGGAGTATGAAATACAAGCTTTTACAGTTTATAACACCTAAGAGGCCGCGGATTAACTGGTTAATCCCCTTCAGGGTAAACGTGGTTCCACCTAATATGGGGCCAATAAGATGTGCTCGATATTTTTTGCTGCGATTAGTTTGACCTTTGACTGCTTCAATTATGTCCTAATTCAAGGATTTAGATCTTATCGGGGCCACTTCGTGAGAGAATCTCTATCCATTCATATACATTGTGTGGTAAAAATTATTTTACATTTTTTAATTTAAAATTAAACATAAACAGTACCTATCGAAAACTGACCGCACAAAACTAAAATTAATCTAAGTATGCTAACAACCTTCTTATTTCAACTTTCTTACTTCTTTTCATGCTACATGTACTTTACTAACGCCCAAAACTAAAATTTGAATTATATTAAAATTCAACTATTTTTCTTCATTTGTTAGCATAATCAAAGTATTAGTTTGTCAACCAAAAAATAATTAAATTTTTGGTTTTTCGTACTAGTGAAATACATGTGGCATGAATAGAAGTGAAAAACTTAAAATGAAAAGATAAGTGAGAAGGTTGATAGCATTTCCTATCAAAGCATTCCTCCATCAAATTAAACTTATAACTTATAAGCAAGAAAAAAATAAAAAGCATTTTATATGTCTTGGCTATTTTTCTACAAATTTTCTTCAATTTTGATATCATTTATTGACATGATTGTTTTTTTAAAATGTGCTTAGATTTAAGGTCTTTAGTTATAGATTGGTTAATTGTTTAGATTTTAAGTTATTGGTCACATAATTAATATTTAAATCTAACTTATTTTTTGATCTAATAATCAACTATGACGAACCACAGCAAGTGGTCCAGTTGTAAGGATGCGGATTGCGGCTCCGCAATAAACAAAAAAATGTGGGAGGTCATGGGTTTGATGTTTCAAGTTTGCGAGTCTGCTTGACTGTAGCAACATGCAGGGTGAAATTCCTCATAGCCTCTTTGGGTCCAAAAAAGATAGATTATTGTGACTTATCACCAGTTGTCCCTTTTCAAAAAGAAACAATCAACGTGAGAAGAGGGAACAAAACTAGGGCTTTTAAACCAACCAAAGAGTAAAATAGACTCTGGAGTCTTGAGTAGTTTTGAGTAAGTAGGTTATTTGGTTAACTAATTTTGGTGTTTATTTATTATGTTATATGTTGCCCAAGGATTCAACTTTAACCACCAAATCCATGAAAAATTTAAAGGGAGACAAAAAGGAGGTCAGCCTATGATTTACAAACAATACGTGTAGAATTGGCATCGTGAATTGGTTGGGATGGGATGGATGGAAGATGTCCCTAATATTATTTAAAGAAAGAAAAGAAAAAGAGGTTTCGTTTTCACACTTAATTAAGCACACATACTCTCTTTCTATTCTACTACCACAAATTTTAAAAGACTGGTCCTGACATGACATGCATACTTATTTCTTGGTCTCTCCTTTCTACTAGTCGTTGCTAATGGAATTGGAATGAGTAAACAATAAATAAATAAACAAGTAAAATAAAATAAAAGGGTTAGTCTTGTTTGTTCATATTTGACATTCTCAACACCCTTTTCTCTCCGGACTCGGAAAATTTTCGAACACCACAAGACCTCGTCAAATCTTATAATATATAACACTGCCTTCCCCTCTCTCTCCCCCTCTTCTCATTCATTATCCTCTCTCTCTCTCCCCCCCCCCGGCTCTCTCTCTCTCTCTCTCTCTCTCTCTGTCTCACAAAGACCTCTCTTCTCAGTTTCAGAAGCTGAATAGTCGAGATATTCAAAGGGTGAGACGAGAGTCAAATGGCAAGCGAATACAGCCGCTTCCATCACCACCACCGCCACAGTCAAAATCTGCGTATGCATAATCATCAGAGATGCACATTCTTGCCCATGTTATGTTCGAGACCATCCATCAAAGATGTGAGGCTTCCAAAGTCGGCTTCTGTAAAAGAAGACGCTTTGTCCCCAAGAATCAGTTGCATGGGCCAAGTGAAAAGAAGCAACAAGGTCACCGGCTTTCCAACCCCTCTCGCTACTCATAGACTACTCACCATCTCCTCAAACCCTAATTCCAAGGACAATATCAGCAGCCCCAACAACCACCACCACAACCACCTCAAGTACTCCAAGCTCAAGAAGCGCTTCTCTGGCAAAAACCTCAACAACCCTAATGCCGCAGCAGCCGCCACCACCACAACAACCACTAGAAACACCACCACAAGATGTAGTAGAAGGCAAGTGATTGTGAATAGTAAAAATGGTGGAAGTGGGCCCGGGAGTAGTAACAATGGTGCATATATTAACCTAGTGGATTTAGATCCTCCTCTGCCTGTGATAAAGAGGGTGCACAAGAAGCCTGCTGAAGAACAAGAAGAGGAGGTGAAGAGTCTTTGGAAGAGGAGATCTGGTGGGGTTGAATTGAAACGTTTGCAGCTTAAACAGATTCACCATCGTAGGCATCTAAATCAATCCATTACTGTTTGATGGGTAAAAAAGCCAAAAGGGGATTCTGAAAATATATTCTTGTACATTTTTTTTTTGTTTTGGATCCCAAATTTGGATGTATTTTTTAGGACTTGGATCCTCTCCTGAGCCTAAGGAGAGGATCCTCCTGACCAAATGACTTGGGCCGTTGGATGAAAATCCAACGGCTACAAACAGAAGTGTCCTTTAAAGTTATAATAATTATAGCCGTTGGATTTTCATCCAACGGCCCCAAGTCTTTTGGTCAGGAGGATCCTCTCCTTGGGCTCAGGAGAGAATCCAAATCTTTTATTGCTTATTCACTGTTCCGATGAGTAGTGACATAATATTAAGATACTTGTGGAGCTAATATTTAGTTATACGAATCATTAGTATTATTGATCTAATGTTTTATTTATTTGAATTAGCGATATACCCCATCATCTGATATTCTTAACATTTTTAGGATGATCTCTCTCCCCTTTCTTTTGTTTTTCTTCTTTTTGTTCAAAGTAGTAAAGCACGAAACTTATACAGAGGAGAATTTTTAAGTGGTGGCTAGAAGAACAGAGTCATGTGATGGTGTTACGCTGTTAACTGACGAATTACTCCGAATCGCCGAGGTAAAAAGGAACCGGAGATGAGAAGACCAGATCCACTCATCATCCACACAAGTTGAACGATGTTTCAAGTAACTGTTCCTCGTAAGGTTGTTATGTCGAGAAGTTTGATGGTGAAATCTACTTTTTATTCGTAAGTCATGGCCGGTATTCGGGACTTGGCAGTGCCATTGTGTTAAGGGCGGTCCACATGCGTAGTTTTCATGCACAAGAACAAGAACAAAGCATAGTATTTATCTTCGTACCAATAAAATCCTTCCCTAAAACTTATATTATGGGAACGAGTCAACACAATCCCACTCTGCAATCAACGAACGATTGGCCAGTTAAGAGAGATTTTTTAGTGCATTTGGAACATAAAGTCGTATACTCCGTGTCATAATACAAATGGAGAGATACTTAAAAGGGTCATTTTGGTTCCGATCCCTAATCAACCTAATTGTTAGACTGAAACCGTGTTTGTTTAAATATTTTGATCGAGGTTCTTAGCCTCATTTAAGATATTTAATTCATACATTTATGCATTTAATGTCCCATAAATTATGAAATTTCAAATAATATTTTTAAATATAATAAATACTTAAAAATCAATTTTAGAGTAATATTGTTCTTCACAAAATTATAACAAAAAAATAATGTACCCGCATAATTATTAACATATTTTAAAAATTAACTATTGATATATTTTAAAAGATAAAATAAATACATATAATTAGCATAGGTACATTTAGCAAAATTAAAAATGGATACAAATAAATTAAAAAATATGGATACAAATACAAATAAAAGTTTAAAAAATATGGGCACAAAAAGGAATAAATATATGGGTACAAATTAAGACTAAAAAGAAAACTGGTACAAATTAAAAAAAGGGTTGCAAATTAAAAATGAGTACAAACTGAAAAATAAAAATATATGATAACAAATATAGCCATGAATATAATTATAACAAATGTAACGTTTCTAACACTAAATGAATATATATTTAGAAATAAAAATTATTTTATTATTGAAATAATTAATGGCATGTTAAAATCTAAGGACCTTGATCAAAAATTGAAAATGAATAAGGTTTTAATCAATGGAGTAGGAAAAATAGGGATGGGAACCTAATTAAGAATACTTAAAAATATATCTTCTTACCATTTATATCATGATGACATGTGTCGTACCAACTTATATTCTAGATACATTGAAAAATCTCTCATATTAGAGCTTGTTTGAATTTGCTTATGGAATGAGCAAAAACACTTTATGCGAGACAAGAAAAAATGTTTAAAGCTCATATGACTTATAAAAGCATTTCCGAAGTAGATGTCAAAATCTTAAGTGGAAAGCATAGTTCCACTATGCATTTTGTACATCAAAAAACTTTATAACTAAAGTGTTGTTTACTGACTGGATTTGAAGGTTTTATGATTATGAGTCAAATTTGACATTAATGTCAAATTTATTTTTAAATAATTTTAATGGTGGGTCTCTTGTTTCACTAACATTTCAACCAATAAAAATTTTGTTCCATCATTTTTTGTAATAATTACAACAATTTAAAGCTCTATTTAAATAATAAAATAAAATTTGACAATTCAGTTGGTAAAGTATAAAATTTGACATAAAACTTCAAATTGTCACATCAACCATCAATTTTAATTTGACATTTCCTTTGAATATAGTCTAAAAGTGGCTTTCTAACCACAATAGAATTTCTAATTTCATCCCATCCCAAAAAATAAATCAAAATGAAGCATTCCTTCAACCAGAGACTACCAAAGTTTATAGTTTATGGACATCTCAAAGAATATCCTCATTCAATAGTACTATGATCTGGTGTTATTTATCTTAACTTAGAAGTAAGTGAAAATTTTTTGAATACCACAAGACCTCCTCAAATCTTATAATATATAACACTGCCTTCCCCTCCCTCTCCCCCACTTCTTATTCATTATCCTCTCTCTCCCCCACTTCTTATTCATTATCCCCTCTCTCTCTCTCTCTCTCTCTCTCTCTCTCTCTCTCTCTCTCCACATACAACCTCTCCTCAGTTTCAGAAGCTGAATAGTCGAGATATTCAAAGGGTGGGACGAGATTCAAATGGCAAGCGAATACAACCGCGTCCGTCACCACCGCCACAATCAAAACCTGCATATGCATAATCATCAGAGAAGCATATTCTTGCCCATGTTATGTTCGAGACCATCCATCAAAGATATGAGGCTTCCAAAGTCGGCTTCTGTAAAAGAAGACGCTTTGTCCCCAAGAATCAGTTGCATGGACCAAGTGAAAAGAAGCAACAAGGTCGCTGGCTTTCCAACCCCTCTCGCCACTCATAGACTACTCACCATCTCCTCAAACCCTATTTCCAAGGACAATATCAGCAGCCCCAACAACCACCACCACAACCACCTCAAGTACTCCAAGCTCAAGAAACGCTTCTCTGGCAAAAACCTCAACAACCCTAATGCCGCAGCCGCCGCCACCACCACAACAAGCACTACAAACACCACCACAAGATGTAGTAGAAGGCAAGTGATTGTGAATAGTAAAAATGGTGGAAGTGGGCCCAGGATTAATAACAATGGTGCAAATATTAACCTAGTGGATTTAGATCCTCCTCTGCCTGTGATCAAGAGGGTGCCCAAGAAGCCTGCTGAAGAACAAGAAGAGGAGGTGAAGAGTCTTTGGAAGAGGAGATCTGGTGGGGTTGAATTGAAACGTTTGCAGCTTAAACAGATTCACCATCGTAGGCATCTAAACCAATCCATTACTGTTTGATGGGTTAAAAAAAAAAAAAAAAAAAACCAAAAGGGGATGGCCAAAAAATATTCTTGTACTTCTTTTTTTTTTTTTTTTTTTTTTGTTTTGGATCCGAATTTCGGATATATTGTTTGATTGATTATTCAGTGTTCCGATGAGTAGTGACATTATATTATGATACTTGTAGAGCTAATATTTGGTTATATGAATCATTAATCTAATGTTTTATTTATTTGAATTAGCGACAAACCCCAACATCTGATATTCTTAATATTTTTTTAGGAAGATCTCTCTCCCTTTTCTTTTGTTTTCTTCTTTCTGTTCAAAGTAGTAAAGCAGGAAACTTATATAGAAAAGAATTTTAAGTGGTGGCTAGAAGAACAGAGTCATGTGATGGTGTTACGCTGTTAACTGAGGAATTACTCCCGAATCGCCGGGGTAAAAACGAATTGGAGATGAGAAGAGCCAGAGCCACTCATCCACACAGGTTGAACGATGTTTCAAGTAACTGTTCCTCGTAAGGTTGTTGTGTCGAGAAGTTTCAGGGTGAAATTTATTTTTCATACGTAAGTAATGGTCGGGACTCGGGACTTGGCAGTGCCGTTATGTTAAGGGCGGTCCACATGCGTAGTTTTCATGCGCTATTACAAGAACAAAGCGTAGTATTTATCTTCATCCCAATAAAATCCCTCCCTAAAACTAATATTATAGGAACGAGTCAACACAATCCCACTCTGCAATCAACGAACGATTGCTCAGTGAAGAGAGATTTTTTAGTGTATTTGGAACATAAAGCGGTGCACTTCGTGTCATAATAGAGAGATAATGAAAATACATATTCTCACCACATATATTATGATGACATGTGGTGTTACCGACTTGTGTTCCGAATACATAAAAAATCTCTCCTTTTAGAGTTTGTTTGAGATTGCTTATGAAATGAGCAAAAGCACTTGATGCGAGACAAAAAGAAATATAAAGCGCATATGACCCATAAAAGTAGCCTTCTAACCGGAAAGGGATCCTCTCCGGATTCCTTCCACCAAATCCACCGAATCAATCAACCCGGACCTTTAAAATTTAATTCAACGGCTACAAACAGGGGGCCCTTTAAAAGTTATAATAACTTTAGCCGTTGAATCAAATTTCAAGGACCCGAATTAGGTGATTGGGTGGATTTGATGGAAGGGATCCTGAGAGGATCCCTTTCCTTTCTAACCATACCAGAATTTCTAATTTCATCCCATCTTCCACAGGAAAGCTCACTCAATTGTTTCAACTCTGTTTCATCAAAAAATAAATCAGTATGAAACATTCCCCCAAGTGCCCGAGACTGCCAAAGTTTGCAGGTTATGGACATCTCACAGAATATCCACACAATGCACTGATTGTTGCCATAAGTTCATTAATTAATGTTTTGTGTAGAAAATGAGACTGTCTTATGCGTATACAGGTGTAAATGTTGAAGGCTGGCTGGAGGTTCAAAGTCCCTTGAAAGATTGAATATGCAAAATGGTTTGAAATAAGGTTTTAAACTGTCTATTTTTTTCCTCAAAAAATACTAATGTTGTTAAAGAGGGTGGGGCAGAGAGAGAGAGGAAGATAGAATTTTTTTTCATTTTGTTAGTAAATGGTTTGAAACCAAACTAAAACCGCATTGAACTGAACCGAACAATTTGATTGTATTTCAATTTTGGCTTCAAAAGTAGACCTAACCGAACCGTAAAAAGTTTCTGTGTCAATTTCACTTTCACTCAAAATTGTACCAAATCGAACTGTAACCACCCTTGCTTAAAATTTATGAACTATTAGTGAATTCATTTTCTTCTTACGAAGTTGTCAAATATTTTAGCCTTTAAATCTAATGTAATTTTGTAGCTAGCATGCATCTGATCTTCATCGGTCCCTCAAAATGAAGACCTGATTAGAGCATAACTCACATTACTGTACTAGTGAATGCTGTTACTGTTTCAAGCGACAATAGCAAATCACAATATTGCCCTAACCAAGTCATTCACGTCAACAACACAAGCCTGGTATTCAAGTTCAAATTTTATTTTTTTTGATGCCTAGGTCTATATTTATACAAGCAGCAGCAAGTTTACAGGTATTGAATGAAGCGGACTACTTATGATCACCCTTGCTCTTTATACGGCGTCCAAATCAGTTTGCTAACATCGACCTCGAGACCCCCACGTCCGGCGGCTTTTAGATGACGATCCAGGACCTTCGGGTCTGCACAAATGACATGCTGACCTTTCCTGTACTGAATTAATTCTAGACTCTGAAGGGTGTTCAATATATCCTCTGCCTTGATGGCTGTCATGTCACTAAGCTCCTGCATGGCGAAACATCATCATATATGAGTACATATCACCTGTATGTTCTACGAAACTCAACAAAAACCATATGGCATTCAGATATCTATACAATAACCCTAGGCTTTATAAGGAGAGAGGAATACAGGAAAATACAAACCCATGTTAAATGGTGTTTAAACCATCCCAAGACAAATCCAGTATACAATTCTTAACTATTTGGGTTTACTTCATATCGTGTAAAATCCCCATTTGGAGAATGGATAATTGGTTGGTCTCATTAGTAACAACTTCCATGCAATGTGCAAAACACTTCAAACATTCTCAGCATAGAGTTAAGCCACAACTATACGATGGTGGAGTCTTTGGTTTAACTAAAAACTTTGAGACACTCACCTTGATTGAAATATTTCCCTTGTGCTTTTTCAAGATATCTAGAAGCACCCGGGTCCAGTACCCTCTGTAACTCAGCAATCCTAGGTCAGAGAGGGGTCTTTCAGGCGTGCCAACTTTACCTTCTTTCTTTGATAGTTCATATGCTGCATCACATTTAATAAAACATTAGTATTCATTACTCGTAAAAATTATACAAATACGGACAAATGAGACAATCAAATAGCAAAATTTGACAACAGTCCAGAAATTGGTTTTGATGATTGACAGAAGGCAAAACTGTCTTCTGAGGCCTATTACAAACCAGAGTCAGCAACAGGTTCATTCATCAGATTATTCCATCATACAAGCATGTGTCACCCTCTTGGCTCAATTCTATGACTAAAAAATTCTTAGGGGCATGAAGTGACGGAGTCAATCACATCATGTGGTAATAAACCCATGTTTATGCCTAGAAAATGACCAAGTGATCCTTGTCATATAGATGATAGGCTTGAAGATTAAAAATAGGGGACAACTGGATAGCAGGGTATATAGTCCACCAATACAATTAGAGCCCTTTGAATTTCTTTGCAAGAGAAGATTTATATGTAAAAGCAACCTGCAAATATACAGATACAAAGGAAATTCTAGAATTTCAGTTCTTCTAATAGCATTCCTTGCTACAGAAAAAATTTAGTTAGAGAGCTTTACTTTATATTATACTATATTGAATTGAGTTTTGGCTTTATATGGTCTTCCACAATCTGCAACTGCAACTCATTGCAGGAATATAGAAGAATATTTCAAAAAACTTGTTGGCGCAAACCCATTAATAGATGTCTGTTTACAATGGTCCTACACAATTCAAAGATATTCCAAGGACTACCAATACTAAAGTCAGAACTCAATCATCGGGACAGAACAGAGACAAGAGATTCAAAATAAGCCAAAACAAAATAAGAAAGTAGGTCCCAGAGCTTACAGAAGGCAATCAAAAATTTTCCATAGCCTTTTCTTTGATACGGAGGGAGGGTGAGGATACATGCCAAGTTATAGGATTCCTCCGAATGCTTTTCCTGCATCACAAGAAATTACTAACTAAAAACAGAAAAGTGCCGAAAATTCTTCAGTGACTTCAGAATCATTTCTACCCTTTCACGTGTCTAAATTTGCAACAAGAGAGAACGGACAAAATTCCAAATTCAAAGATACAAACAAACAAAATTCTAATTTCTACAAAGTAGAACTTGTATCCAAATGCTATTTTAGCACCCTCAGAATCAAAGTTCATTACTAATAAAATAATACTTGGTTTGCACAGTTAAATCCATGAGCTGCATACACCAAGCCACATATGCACACAATAACAGATACACAGAAATTTCTTACTGTTATAGATGAAACTCAGGAAGGAGTAAATGCGAAGCTTAAACTTTGGAGAGAAGTGTTGGAATCTAAAGGTCTTCGCCTAAGTCAGTCTAAGACAAAGTATATGAAGTGCAAGTTCAATGCAAACGGAGGCTCAAATCAGTTAGAGGTGAGGATTGGAGATCAGGAAGTACCAAAGAGCGACATCTTTCACTACCTAGGATCTATCTTGCAAAAGAACGGAGAGTTGGATGGAGATCTAAACCATATAATACAATCTAGATGGATGAAGTGGAAGACTGCATCTAGTGTGTTGTATGACCGTCGTATGCCATTGAAGCTCAAGGGAAAATTTTATAGGACAATAATAAGGCTAGCAATGCTTTATGGCACGGAATGTTGGGCTCTGAAGCATCAACACATACATAAAATAGGTGTAGCGGAGATGAGAATGCTTCGTTGGATGTCTAGGCACACGAGAAAGGATAAGATTAGGAATGAAGATATCCGAGGTAAAGTAAGAGTAGCCGAAATTGTAGGAAAGATGAGAGAAAATCGGTTACAGTGGTTTGGACATATGAAATGAAGGCCTATTGACGCTCCGGTTAGAAGATGCAATTAGGGGACAGAGGTTCAGGGCCAAAGGGGTAGAGGAAGACCTAGGAAGACTTTGGAAGAGACTAAAAGAAAAGACTTAAGAGTACTTGGATCTAACAGAAGACTTGAACAGAACCGAGCGCAATGGCATTCTAAGATTCATATAGTCGACCCCACTTAGTGGGAAGAAGCTTTGTTGTTGTTGTTGTTGTTGTTGTTGTTGTTGTATAGAAAAGACATATACAACTCAAGGTAATTCAGAAAAGATATATAACTTCCAGATAATGCAAGAAGAAATCATAAAAATGATGTTACAATATTAGGACAAAGTTGCAAAAGGGAAGCAAGCAGGCTACAAATATACCCACACGGAAAGATGATATAATTCATGAATTCTAATACAATTTTCTCTTGCTTCTTCAATGGTAAAAGATAATGACAGCAAAAATATTACCTTGGAAAAATATCCAACCATATGGCAGCCCCGATCATCACATTCACATAAAATGTAAAACAGAAAGAGGTCAACATCATAATACAGGGTCTTGTGATCAAGAAATAATTTTGCCAAATAACAAAGATTCTGCCCATAAACCTTGTTCTTTTTGCCATCAACCTGATTCAATACATTTAATAAATAAAAAAAGACATATCAGCCACAAACTCAATATCTGAACATGACAAAACGATCTGAAAACTTGCATAAACAAAAAAACAAATTGCAGAAAAACAGGATGGGTGGTAATTTTCACACACCCCATTTTACTTCTCACACACCCAAATCAATTGTTTAAATATATAGAATGGTGATGGATGAGTTAAAGGGACATATTCAAAATGATATTTCTTGGTGTATGCTTTTCACAGGTGATATAGCGTTGATAGATAAACGTAGAAGGGTGTAAATGTGAAGCTTAACCTTTGGCAGGAAGTGTGGAATCTAAAGATCCTCGCCTCAATAGGTCAAACACAGAGTATATGGAATGCAAGTTCGATGGCAATTGGGGTCCAATGAGATAGGAGTGAGGATTGGAGATTAGGAAGTGCCAAAGAGTGAACGATTTCGCTATCTTGGATCTATCTTGCAAAAGGGTGTGTGAGAGACAAAATGGGGGGTGTGAAACTCACCACCCAAACAGGATATACAATGAGACAGCTTTTTATTTTCAGAGCAAAGTCAATTACAGATTGCAACTTTTGAAACCACTTCAAACCTTCCCACATTAACTTATGAAAATTAACACAAGGTTTTCCTTTGACCATCACGGGGATATTTGCAGAAACTATGCAACTAACCTCAAACATAGAAAGTGTACCACTTCGGTATATCTCATCACCAGGGGGATGCTTGAGATCACATTTTCTCTACACAGGAAAATATATAACTTATTATGTTAATAACAGAAACAGTCGACTACAGTTTGTGAACTTAACCATGAATGAAAGATACTGTAAGAAAGGGAAAAATATTGAGATACAGCTCACCATATGCCTTTGAAGCTGCTCTTTGCGCTTCATGAAATTGAGACAAAACTCACAAAAGTACAGCTTCAAAGAGTCATTATATTCGGGTGGGAAGGGGGAGAAGTACCATGTCTCAATTTCATATCTTCCAAGTTCTATAGTCGCTATATTTTTCACTTTCGTAAACTCTTCATGTTCACGCAAGCTGGCAGCATCAAGTTCCTCATGGCCCTATAAAATTGCAAGAGCACCTTCAGACCATATGTATACAAAATCTGAAACATATTCAATAAAGGCACAAGCTTTTGGATACCTCGCCAATTCCCTTCCTCGTATATAATACCATTGTCACCGTAATGTAATGTCAAACCTTTACACAAAAGAACTTAGCTAGGTTGTCATAGAATATGTTGTGCACATGTGTACCTCAATTTGTGTGTGTGTAAGAGCAAGAGAGAGAGAGGCATAAGAATTGATCCAATTGAGAAACATTAATGATCTAGATTATTAAATTCAGTTGTTAGCCAAAAGTGATGTCTATAGCTGCATAATGTTTTCATCCAAAAAATAGGATAAGCAGCAAGAAAAACAAGAAGAAATAACGATTCTAATCAGGGGATACCTCTACATGTGTCTCATCAATCTTCCGCTTCTGATGACGAGTCATTTTCAAGCTTGTAACCTAATAAACCCACATAGCGAAATATTAGCATAGGATATCTTGAAAATAAAAAGTACAGTACAAGCAACTGAAGGGGGAAATAAGGGCCATAATCATAAATAGCAGGATTTTCTTTGTACAACCCTAAACATTATCACAAGGAGAATGCTTGGGATTTCAAGTGGGGTCGACAATGAGGAAGGATGCATCACCTTGTCCTCCACTTTCTCATCAACTACGGCCTCTACTGAATCAAGATCAAGTTGGTCAAGTTTCACCCACTCGTCAAGCCTCCTATTGACTGACATAAGGAACAAACATAAGAACAACATCATAAGAAGTATTTCATTGAGATCATAACAGAATAATTTAATTAAATCACCCCCAGTATAAGACGTTGAAAACTAAGTAAATAATCACCTGATGGAGCTTATCCAAAAGTAAATTTTTTAACAGTTCTGCAATCAGTAAGCTAATTACCCTGTTCTATTATGATGGTATAAAAGATGGAATTTCCATGATATCGAACAGTGAGACTTTTTACGAGAATCAAACAACAAATCCACATATAGGAATGACATTAATAAAACAAGTTTTGTGTTGAGTATTATGGCATGTAAGGTTTGATTCATGAAATCCCTTGCACCAATTTTTTTTCTCTATATATTTTTATTTCTAAAAAAGGCCTCACAATCCTCCATCATCATTAATCACAAAACTATCCCTCAACAGGACAAACATACGTCTAGCCACCACCTTTTCATCATCATAGAAAATGTACATTCATATTACTCCTCAATTTTTTTTTAGCAAACTTATTATGCTCATCATCTTATGTCACTCTACATTGTAACGTATCACTTTGTCAAATTCTCTACTACCAGCAACTTTTAAGAGATCTATCCCAAATTTGAGTAATGTCCCAGCTGAAAACTGAGCAAGTTCCCAAATTTAAGGTATCCATCAATTTAACCAGCTAAATAAGACCCCATAACAGCAAACAATACACTTTACCAAAAGGAAAAGAATTTAAAGTACAGATCAATTAAACCGAAAACCCTAACCCTAATTCGCAAAATTGGGCAGGCAACGAGGAAATTGAACTTACACTCAGTGTAGTGGACGTAATACTCGTAGTCGTTGGGCCCACCGCAATGAACTCTCCGTCGTTCAATGACCTTGACCGGGTGGTACTTGTTATCCCTCCACCGGCACATGACGCGCGTGCCGACCTCCAAAGGAAGAATCGACGACTTTCGCTTCTTCAAAAATTCCGACTCCGGGGTTATTTCGTTGGCCGAAGGATGGTATCCATCGCCTGCCTGAAGCATTCTCTCAGCGTCGCATTCGGCGGTGGCCGGATTAGGGGCGGCAGAGCCGTTCTCTGCACTCGCCGGTGTTCCTATCGAAACCATTAATTTAAGTCGGTTGGCCGAAAGGGACTCTGGAGCTGTTGATAACTTGGTATTATTAGAAGCGGGATTAACTCTGGAAGGCTGTGGGCCGGGTCCGTGAGAGGACCGTAGGTTACTGGGCCGGATGACATAGAATATGGGGAACATTCACATACGAGATTAAACAGAAATTTATTTGCAGTTGTGGATTAAGTTAATTTGTCATGATAATTGTTGAGCAAAATTTGTACACAATATGTAAACAAATAATTCACTTGACACAATTTTATCCTTGTTCATTTTTTTGAAGAGGGTTTTATTAATTTAAGTTCAACCCATTCTAGGCTACTTTCCTATTAATTACAACCCTTCTTTTGGGAAAGGAATACCCTTTGATTCTAATATGAATAAATCGTAACTTAGGAATTTGGATGTTTATTTGATTTTGTGACAGCATCTAGGTAGAGCCCTAGATTTCCTACATACCCTCGTTAAGGGATCAAGTCACTCGTAGTTCCTTGTATATTTGTTGGGGTTTGATGCCTTGTGCAGTTTCAGCTTGTGCAGACAAGGAGCATTTAATGTCTTGTGCAATTTTAGCTCATGCGGGCAAAGACTTTAAGCCATTGGAGCGATTGATGCCTTGTGCAGTTTGAGCTCGACTTTGAGCCATTGGAGCATTTGATGCGGGCAAGGACTTTAAGCCATTGAAGCATTTAATGCCTTGTGCAGTTTGAGCTCATGCAGCGCAAGGACTTTAAGCCATTGGAGCAAAATGTGGCATCGTGTCATTCGAGTCTTGATGCGGCTTCATGCCATTTGATATTTGATACGACTTCATGCCATTTGAGATTTTTCTTCGGCTTCATGTCATTTGACATTTGATACGACTTCATTCCATTTGAAATTTGACGTGACTTTGTGTTGTCCGACCTTATTTTTATTCACGGAGTCCAAAAATATAAAGCTCACGTGAATACAAAATTGTTGTTTTACTTCAATCTCACATGGAGCAATATTCCCTATAAAACTAGGAACTTTGTTGCATGAGCAGCATCCATTAATTGGAAGTCTAGGAACTTGTGCTTGAAGACTTCTCTTTTACTCTTTTTAGAATTATTTATTTGATCAAAGTAGCAGGAGTGAATTTAGTTTATATAAACCAGGGATTCGTTTCGGTTTCACGGTTGCGTCTAAAATTTGATATCAGACTGTGTACGTATCCTTAACGAAATCAAACCGGCGTAGTTCATAAATTTGGAATGACTTTGTGCTATTTGAAGCGGCTTTGTGCCATTTTGATTTGGATTTGGCATTGTAGAAATTTTGTATCAATTATATGCCAACTGATACAATGGACGAATTTACTTTGGAGATCATGTCCACTGACGTCACTTGGAAAATTATACCAATTAATAGTTAATCAGTATAAACCCCCTTTGACTGGCAACTTTGTTTTATGAGTTCAACTTGCTTCGTAATAGCAAGGCTTTCGGTGGAAAAAGAAGGGAGAACGACTATTAAAGCTGCGAAGCCAGAACATCAAAGCTGCTACAGTATCGTCGTCTCAATTACTGTACAGAGCTTTCCTTGACGAAAACTTATTTATTTCCTTTACTTTTAACTTGTAGCTTCTATCATGTTATCTCCATTTCATCTTTTCTTTGTGCTTGCGTCAAATCTTCTAGCAACTTAGAAGACAACTTCCTTCATTTTTTATTCCCTGCTGTAGCTTTCTTCTGCAGACTTTACAATCTCCATTTTCTCTTTTCTTTGGAATTCCTGACACAAAAGACGTTCTCTTCTTTTCCCCTTTGTCTTGTAGCATCTGTCAATTTTACTTAATGCTTTTGGTTAATACTTTTGACCCAATACTTGATCAAAAATGATAACCACATTTAAGTCCTTTGAAAGTCATCTTTTTCCTCCTTTCTAGTCAATTCTTTGAAGAACGGAGCGGCAACAACACGCCAAAATTCTCCAGTCGTATTCCTCTCTTTTTGATTTGAAGTTTCTCAATGGAGCAGCAACCATTTCAACTCCACATGTAGCACTGCGGACTTCTGTCGCATTTGAGCAGCTCGGACATGTTGTAGCGGTTCAGAGTAGTTGGTGCACAACTTCCGTTGGGCATCACAGGTTGCAGAGTGTTGATGACGGCGAAGACGCAGCGACGGTAGTGCTTTTCTTTGCCGATGCCGCTGCTGGTACTAGGATCTTGGCGAAGGACTGCAGAGAAGTCGAAGGTGTTTGGCGACTGCGAGCTGCTGTCAAAATCCAAGCGAGAAAGCCGTCCTCCCGTTCGGAGCCATCACCGGGTACAGTGGGTTGGCGCCATTCTTCCACACGAACCCGACTCCCGTTGGCGGCATGGCAGCGGAGGAAAGGGAAGCCTCTGTGTTTGCCAATTCGAGATCCGAGCGGTACAGTGATGGGTTTTGCAGAGGTGGCGGAGAAGGGAGACAAGGATGCCCCTTCGTCTTTGGTTACTGCTACCTTTGCTGCCGTTGGTGAGAGGAAAGAGAAGAGTTTTCTATTTTTTTTGTTTGGGAATTCGCGAGAGGGAGGACACCACCCCATTTTTGCTTCGGGAATGAGAGAAGCAAAATTCTTCTCTTCCTCCAGCAAATTAGAGAGAACCTAACAGCAAGATACTTAAAAGAAAATGGATCTCTACCTTTTAAATGCTTCGTTGGTTTGGAGGGAGAGATCTGGAGATGACCTCTTTCCGGGTTCGGTATATCATATAATTCCAAGATTAAATTTCTTTTCTTTTTAACGCAACCCTCACTTCTCCACTCCATCCTAATACCACTCGACTCGAAGGGAGAAAATTATTTGATCGGTAAAGAGTAATAATATGGCTGCTAGTTGTGTATCGTAAACCCTCATCTAATTAGCATGATATGCCAGTGCATTCATTTTTTTTTCTCTTTTTTTTATTTTAATTTCTTTCAACCTGTTTGTGTGATAATATCGCTTTTATTCTTGTGCTAGTAGTTTTTGGACGTCTATAAAATTCAATTATCATTAAATCTCAAAAATGCAAATTTACAACTGTACACTTTTAGATTCAAAGTTTAAATCTTGATTTCTACATTAGTTGCAAGAGAATAAAAGAATTGGTTTTTAACCAATTGTGTCGAGTACAACCCAACCTATATTGATGAGTTTCTTTTACTGAATTTATATTATTTTAAAAGTTACACCAAATTACTTATATGGACGATAGAAGTTTACAGCATTGTAATATCATTATACAATTTGTTGTTCTTCAAGCTTATTTCTCTATTCTATGATTATAACAATGAAAAGACCACTACGTCAAATCGAAAAAGAAACATATTGCAAAATTATAGGATGTCATTTACCAAAACGGCATTGGCCAAAATACCTAATCGATGTGGGATTCAAATTCTTTATTTTTCATTCAAACTCTTATATTTCTACATTATATTGGTCAGCTCACTTATGGGAGCGAAATGATACATATCATTGTGTGCTTATCCATTTTTCCTCTTTCTTGCAATTATGTACGCACGTGCATGTGTTCATGTTGATAGGGTACACATGTGCAGTCAACCATTAGTTTGGCAAAAAAAAACCCTAAGAAAGTATGAGAACGTGGCTCGAAATCGCGACCTTAAAACGAAAGGGTTCGGCCTATATAGTCTTCTACCTACCTCAATAATAATCACGCACTAATGTGTTCGTAGACCAATTTTTCAAAGATCATGTTAAAAACTTTTAAATCGCGTCGAAATTGCTGTATGAAAAGGTTTAGTTCTCCCCAATATCTTAAACTATTTCATAGAAAATCTCAATAACTAATCTCAATAACATCAAAATATCAATTGAAGTTAAAAAGTGATGATTATTTATACCACTTGAATTTGGTATTTGTAATGCTAGTGTGCAGAGGTTCTGTATATTGTAGATATAGTAAACCTTCATATAATCAGCATGACACCACTGTATTAATCATAAGAATTGTATTTATTCCTCTCCCGCAGCATCAATCACATTCAACATAAAAAGGGGCCAAATCGAATCGGTTTGGTTCGGTTACTACCAAAAAACAAAAAAAAAAAAAATTTAGTCGAACTGGAGAAAACAAACTTTAAGTAACCAGCATCCAACATACAAACTGGAGTCAGTTGGACAAAACTTCAACTAAGACAATAAAAACGACACGGCTCAAATATTAAACGCTCGATTCCATTAATCTGATGCATCCGGGGGATTGGTATTGTAAGGATATATACAATAACTTTACAGAGCAGGCAGAGCTTCTTGTACACCTGTTTACAAGCAGAGCTTCTCTTTAGTCCTAACAAACACAAGTAAAACCCACGCTGCCTTCTAATACTTGTAAATGGAAGAAACTCACCCACTGTACAGTTAACTCTCACAAGAATATACAACGATGCCAAAACTTACACACATCCGAAATCAGGACGTGAAATCTTTACGCACAAGGCGATGACCTAACCTCCTGCTTCCACTCGGCCATTTCCCTTTGAAACCAAGAAACATGGTGGTTTCCAGGCCAGCAAGGGCAAGGTGATGCCATGGGATGGAGGGCAGAGAATGCTTGTCCTCTATTACATTTGAGCTCCACAAGGGCAGATTAAACACAAGGAGAAAATTTTCTGACACTACCCGTCTCCTTGCGGTTGTTCACCAGAACAAGCATCCTGGTTGATCTGCTTTTCATTTGGAATGCAATCAGCAGGAACATATGCATATCCTTTGGGTAATTTCATATTTTTCATCGATGCTTGATCAGATGTCATTACCAGTTCTTTCTCAAATGTCTCAGCATGCTGTGAGTTGGAAGGTTTACAGTTAGTTCTATCATACACCTTATTGTGCTTATTCCAGAGATAAATGTGCGCTCGTGTGTATATTTTATGCAAAATGTAAAATACCTTCCTAGATTTTGACCTCCATCCTCCATCTTCCGAAAGATTACAAGTTGCAGCACTAGAAGCTCCACAAGGAATATGTTTATCAGAAACTTGTGGCCTCTCCGAGAGCTTTTTGGTAGAATGGTTTTGGGATGTGGAGCTGTTATCATCTGTTTTTGGGTCATTGTCAATAGTTATAGGAACTCTCAGCCGCTTCACAGAAATTGTACTATCCACAGTCACATCATCTGATCTTTGAATTGCATCACTGCATGATTTGTAATCATTAAGAGATGTTGTAGCTGAATCAGAACTAACATCAGGTTGCAGGAAAGGACTAGTAACAAGCACTGTCCGAGCAACATGATCTCTCCTCACAGCAAGAAGATCATGTGAACAAATGAGCAGTTCCCGCTGCATTCAAAAGAAACCTTATTCAGCATAAATTCTCCACAAGATAAGTATCTTAGAAATACAAGGGAACAAAAATATGCAACTTAAGATAATCAGAGGCAACAGGATTAAACAAGAACTGAACCAAGGCTATAAACAGTCGGGTACAAATCATGTGGCTAGTGACACTACTCCAGCTCCATTGGCATTACAGATGCCAACATTACATACATATGTCTCAATTTCTTACTGATCTCCAGCAATGCTAAAGATGCACCAGATAATAATTCCATGAAGGAAGTGGGTCATACCGGCCCATATGTAGGTATAGAAAGTAACTGTTCCCATGGATCCAACAAAGAGTTAAAGGGCAAAAGACAGAAAACCTCTTTCCGAACCTTAAGCTTGGAGCCATATGAAAACATAACAGACACTAAATTGATAACCAGGGAGCCAATAAAAGCACACATCAAAACCATGTACAGAACCACAGAAATACCTCACCTTTACTTTTTCTCGTTTGATGATTCTGTCACAAAGTAGTCGTACCCTCTCCAGTTCAACCTGCAAAAGATCATTCATGTCATAATTCAATCAGGGAATTTGGTTCATCAAGCAAATAAACACAAGTTGAAAAGGTTAAAGTGATGGACCAAAAACAATATCACTGAGCACATATATATATAGATGAGAAACAAGGGGGGGGAGGAGGGGGGGGGCGCTGTGGGGGGGTGTTCTAATGGACTTGGGTTTTTTATTTTCCATACCCATTATGCCCATTTTTAACCCATGAAACCCATCAAATACAAGGACAAAAAAACACAAATCCCCTTCCTCCGTCTCTCTCCCTCCTTCCTCTCCCCCCTTCTCACTCTTTCTGCTCGATTCCAAATTTCCACGCCTCATCCTAACCACCACCACCTAGTTCCCTGTCTCTCTCTTCCTGCTAGGTCCCAAGCCTCATCTCAACCAATTGAATGGGTCGCAGAGGAGAAGCAAGTGGTTCAACAGGGATGGGTGGGTGACAAAAGGAGTGACAGGTTCAGTTGACTTGGCATATTTGGTAGAATTGACGGTGGCGTGTCCTTACAATGTGGTTGGGCAGGTTAGAAGCAGTGATGGTGGTCATTTGACATAATCTCTCGGTATGGGTCACAGAGCCGGAGTAGAGAGGGAAGGAGGAGAGAGGGAAAGTGGAAGAGCTGCTTCCAAACATGGTAAGTGTCAGTCCTGTTGAAGTGGGTGGGATCATCTGGGTTGCTTTGTTTTCATTGTTCTTTGTTTTGGGTTTCATTTATGGGTATCCATTAACAGAGGGATGGACGTGTAAATCCACTTGGTATACAAGTTGGGTAGGTACACCCACTAATTATTATATGGGTATGATGGGCTATTTTGCCAATTGGTTTTTTGGGCTAATGAGCCCATCCCATGGGTATGCCCAAATCCACCACGTGTTGACCAGTGCCCATCCCTACACACGCCTAAAGACCACAATCATACATCAAATCATAACCAAGGCACAAATACTTTCAAAAATACCACACACTTAAAGATTATAACATACATCAAATCGTTATTTAAGATGTATGAAATACAAAACCCCCAACATTTTCAACACATTTGCAACAAGTGAACAGTATAGCATTCAAGTGGTTTCATTTAGCGAAGCCACTCATGGTCAGTCAATCAGAGAACCAAGTATTGGCAGTCAGGTGAGGGTCTAAAGATACTATTTCAATCTCTCCTATAAATACATGAAAAAAAAAAAAAAAGAACTAGCACAAAAGAACTTCTAGTGTCCCCGCCAACTGAACCGTGTCCCTCCCTGTAGATACTCCAAGTGGATCTCCTAACCAGATTATCATAAAGGATAAAGAAAACTCAAGCGAAAAGAGTGCTGCATTAATTTTTTTTCTCTCCTGAGTTAGAAGTGATACTGCTTATAGCATTACAGCAAGATGAAAAGACCTGGAACCTATATTTTCATAAATTTCATTCTTACCCTCTACATAAGCACAACAAGCAAACCTCTCTACTGGTATATTTGTTGCTCTTCAATCTTCTGTTTTTTAGGGTATACTTCTGGACTTAGAAATGTATTTGAGCAACTATAATTACTGTACAATAAACTAAACACAAGAATGATACTTACTCTGATTTTCCTGAGGTTCTCTAACTCCTCAGTTCCATGTATTTGTGTTTCAGCCTGCATAAATTCAGAATCCAAGAAAATGAACAAAACAACTCATCAACCACCTAAAAGATGGAGGCTTTGGGGTGATCAAGATATAGACCTTCGTCCTCTGCTCAACGCTATGCTTTTCACAGTATGCCTTGTGTTGGATCTTTCCACCGAAAGTTTTCACATTCATGTAAAAACCAGAACTTCTAGCACAGGAAGGATGAAATGTTGACTGACAATTGCCAAAGTTACACTGCAGACAAACAATACAGATGCCTGAAATCAGTTTCCTAATTATAAGGACAAAAAACATTTCCACTGAAGTATAAGATCACAAGGGAAGAAGAAAAAGTCAAACTCTTACTTTTATGCAGACACCACATTTGCGTCGGCAGATATAACAAAAATCAAGCCCCTTAGAAATCGTCTCCTGGCATTCATGACATATTGTTATAATTGCTGGAACATTAAGTTCAATGCTTATCAAAAAGCAAAAATATTCAATGACAGTAATCTAAATTGTTCAACATTACAACTGCCACAGCATAACCTATACACATACCATTCCCTCAATGGGAGATACTTGACCCCTTCTGAATGTTGACTCGAAGATCCACTACCAAATGAAACAGAAAATAACATCAATTTCTTTAAGCACTATAAAAATTGAAAAAAAGTTTATGACATAATTTGTGTGCAACAGAAAAGTATACCTCGGCACAAAAGGCATGTACCCATTTACCATCAGAAGACTTCCTAAATGCACCTGTTTTGCCACCACATAAACCACATTCTGCAACAAAATGATCTTTCCCCCAAAAATTGACAGGAGCACCAGCAATACGAGTTGATGACATTTCTTCACACAATTCACAATACCATGGACCTGTAGATTCTCTAGTCCTACGATAGCAATCCAAGTGAATGGCAACCTGTTAAAAGGGCTTGGTTATCAGTCATAAACCAAGCAGAGTAGCAAGTCTCATCAAAGTAAACCCATAAGAAAGGCATGAATACCTTGCAACTACAACAGACTAAGATCGGGTTTAACAACGTTTCATAACGTCTGCAGATGTCACAAGATCTAGGATGTTCTTTGGAAGAATCAGTGACTGAATGAACAAAACCAGAGTGTTTTTCCACAGAAATCCGGGGAACAGCCACCCTCGGAAATGTCTCTTTAGGTCGTGGCATCATCTGTGAGGAAAAGCTGGACCTCCCACTAGAAGTATTCAACTTCGTCACATTCTGCAAGAATAAAATGACAAAGTATGAAAGTAAATAAATGACCACGAAGAGACATGTTATTGAGAAAATAAGAAAATTATTAACCTCCTGATGGGAAGATTCGTCAAGAACCTCTTTCCTAAATGATGAAATCCTAGAAGAGGCTGCAGCAGCAGCAGTTGCAGCTGCTAGCACAGCCTGTGCTTCTTTATGCCGTCTCTCCTTCCTACCCTGCTTCTTTGCCTCCCTAAGCTCCCAAAGATACTGGTTAACAAGTACAGCATCCCATTTTTGCCTCCGTGCTGCATCAATCTCCAATGGAAGACTCCTAGCAACATTAGATACCAAATTATCTGCAAAAGAATGTATTTACAACAGAAGTTAATATTCATATTACACGACATCAAATGACAGTATTGCATGCCTCTACTAAAGGCAGGAACAGTGAAATAAAAACTAAACGGAAGATAAGTGCATTGCATATACCAGTAAAATGCTTTCTTGCAATCGCATTGTTGAGCAACCTATGCTGGTAATAAATAAGCTCTCCTTCCATTTCATCGCCTGGACAGATTTCTAGAACTCCCATTTTTCGAGCCTTAACCAACTGTTCTAATTTCATCTCATCGGATTTACAAATAATATCACAGCATTTTGGATGCTTATTTTGGTGATTACAGCAAACACTTGCATGGGAGGATGCCTCCAAACGTGAAATTTCTCCCTCACTTGAACCTGACAAATAAACTACCTGTCAAACTCACCCATAACAACATAATGGAAACAAAAATAAATAAATTTGTATCAATACCATATATTGAATTTTCTAAGGACACCCCAGTCTGCATCTGCAACAACTTATTTTCAATATACGGATGGACATA